TGGAGTTTCTTTCCTTTAACGAAGTCCTGTCAATCATCCTGGCTACACTCTCCATCAGTGGAGCATCTCTGGCCGTCATTACATCATTAATTTTCTTCCATCACAGAACAACTCCAATTGTCAGAGCCAACAACTCTGAGCTGAGCTTCCTGCTTCTCTTTTCTCTTATTCTGTGTTTCTTATGTTCACTAACTTTCATTGGGGCCCCCTCTGAGTGGTCCTGCATGCTGCGGCACACAGCGTTTGGCATCACATTTGTTCTCTGTATCTCCTGTATTCTTGGGAAAACCATAGTGGTTCTAATGGCCTTTAAAGCTACACTTCCTGGTAGTAATGCTATGAAATGGTTTGGTCCTCCACAACAAAGGATGACTGTCATGTTTCTCACCTTAATTCAAGTTATAATATGTGTCATATGGTTGGTTGTGAGTCCTCCCTTCCCAGTGAAAAATCTGAGCACCTACAAGGAGAAGATAATCCTGGAATGTGCGTTAGGCTCTGCTGTTGGTTTCTGGGCTGTGCTCGGCTACATCGGCCTGCTGGCTGTGTTTTGCTTTGTGTTAGCTGTTCTAGCTCGGAAACTACCTGATAATTTCAACGAAGCCAAGATGATAACCTTCAGCATGTTGATATTCTGTGCCGTCTGGATCACCTTCATCCCAGCTTATGTCAGCTCTCCTGGAAAATTTACTGTGGCTGTGGAGATATTTGCTATTCTGGCCTCCAGCTTTGGACTGATACTGTGTATATTTGCTCCAAAGTGTTTCATCATTTTGCTGCGACCTGAAAAAAACACTAAGAAATATTTAATGAACAAAAACTAATTGCATCATATTTTTTTCACTATATGATCATATGTTATCCATGTTGTCTTTGTTACTAAAAAACTGGGTGTACTACACTTATTTCTTCCTTTCTCTACTTCAATAAATATTCAAACCAAAGGGGTTTGGCTCAGTCATTTCTTCATGTAATTTTATTAATTTAATTATAGTAAAACTTCTTTAACAAGAACATTTCCCATACAAACAAGGAAATTAATTTTCAAATTTGGTTCATTGACCTTGGCCAAAATATTGACTTGTTATTTGCATTTAAAAAATGCCCCTAAAATGCAGATATAAAAATGAGCATTTGAGGAGATGGTCAAGATATGTCTAAAAAAAAAACAAAAAACAAAACAAAAAAAAACAATACACAATCAGCTGTTACCATGATAAACCATTACAGATCAGACTGAAAAGCAAGGACACACCACTGGATCACATCATGTGTAGAAGGTTTTCAGCTTTAGTTTTCTTTGCAAATGCTTTTTGTTTGTCGTAAAATTTAGTAAACCTCTTTAGTTTACCGCCAAAATAGTCATGTCTTGTGTTTTCAGTATTAATTTTATTTCTTCTTATAGTTAAAACTCTTTAAATTAAAACTGAAAACATTAGTTTCAAAACACGTTTTTTTAATTTGAATGTTAATATAAGCATTTTTTTTTCTCCTAAGCTTGGTATCTACATGACAAAAGGTCATTTACTTTTTTCCATGCTGTTTCTTCTCACTGTGATTGGTCGAACTGGCGATGACTAATCTTGCTAATGAAATGCAGCTCGCATAATAACACTTTGTAATTTATCCTGACCCAGTCGTCTGTCTCAGTCTTCGCCAGGTGATCAGAGTCTTTATGGGGTCAGTATGGGGAATCCATTAAACTTTTCTCAGGCTCTGCATTTTTGTGTTTTATTTAGCATTCTTTTCATTGCACTGTCAGGTTTTAGTCATTCTGTGGAAAAAAGAAACATTTTGAGGACAGAAGAAAGAGCAGAGAAAAGAGATAGTACTTTAATAGAGAAAAGTGATGATCTGCAGATGGAGGAAACGAGTGCTTTTCAATCTGCTTCAACTCAGTGCGTGAAAGCAGGAGACAATGAGCCTCTCGCCTTGCAGATGGACGGGGACGTTGTCATAGGGGGGTTTTTCCCTTTGCACTATCTGGCCTCTGAGCTTCAGCACAGCTACCAAAGCAAACCCCAGGTCACACCTTGCAGCGGGTAAATATGACGACGTCAGATCCATGCGGGTTTAACATGTTTCGACAAACATTCAAACTGTGTTTTGGCAGATTTGATCACAGAGCCTTCCGCTGGATGATGACGATGGCGTTTGCCGTGGAGGAAATAAACAACAAGTCCAGCCTCCTGCCTGGCGTCAAGCTCGGCTACCGCATCTTGGACAGCTGTGACAACGTCCACAGCAGCCTGCAGGCTCTTTTCTCCTTAGTCACTTTCTCAGAGTCTGCGGCTGGTGGCGAGCAAATGTTGGGAATGAAAAACACGATAAACCTGACAGGCGAAGAGGCGCAAACGTTATTAACGACTCGGGATGATGAAACTCCCAGCTGTCTGTCTGGCTCTCCCATCCCCGCCGTCATTGGTCTCGCATCGTCGTCCCCAACAAGGGCTGTAGCTCAAGTTCTTGGCTCTTTCAACATCCCGCTGGTAAGAAAAGCAAGCATTTTGTGCAAAGATGTTTTTAAGTGCTTTGCTGTAAAAAAACAAAACAACAACAACAAAAAAAACCTTCTGTCTCATCTTAGGTGAGTTATTTTGCCACTTGCACCTGCCTCAACGACAAGCACGTGTATCCGTCATTTTTGCGGACTGTGCCGAGCGACCTTTTCCAAGTCGCAGGTCTGGTGCAGCTGGTCACATTCTTAGGATGGCAGTGGGTGGGCACCATAGGGACGACCGTAAGATCAGGCTTATTTGTTCTTACTCAACAAATCAAGTCTTTATTTTATTTCACTGACCCCATTCAATGCTCATTCCAGGATGACTACAGTCAGTATGGCATACAGGAGTTCTCCAGTCACTTCAGACACAGCGGCGGCTGCGTGGCTTTCCACCTGACTATTCCAAAATCACCGACAGCGGCTGAGATTCAGGACATGGCGGACATGCTGCAGATCTCCACCGCAGACGTGGTGGTGGTTTTTGCGGCCGAGGGACAACTTTTGGATTTGTTCCTGGAAGTGAGCGTCTCTGTTTATGTGCAGAATAGAGGAGATGTGCAGCATTCAGGATGGATTATATTGTCAAAGATCAGATCATAAAGAGGACTCATTGTTTTGTGCTAACCGGTATGTTTTTGTTTCCGTACATATCCAGCTTTCTCGTAGAAATGTAACAGGGATCCAGTGGGTGGCCAGTGAAGCCTGGGTGACGGCCGGCCTTCTGACGTTTCCGGACTTCCACGGCCTTTTAGAGGGAACGCTCGGCTTCTCTTTCCCGGGAGTCAATATCCCTGGGTTGAAAGAGTTCCTCCTTAATGTCCGTCCGTCTCCGGAGCTGGGAATGGAGTTCATCAACATGTTCTGGGAGGAGCAGTTTGGATGTCAGCTCCAGTTCGATCTACTGAATCTGGATCACAGATTCAATCTGGACTCTCAAAATACGTCTGTTGTGACAAAGAAAAAGGAATCCAGCGAACGTATAAATGCTGATCCGAAGCCTGTATGTACAGGCTCGGAAGACCTGAGCCTCACGTCAAGCAGCTACACTGACGTATCTCGGGTCAGAATATCCTACAATGTGTATAAGGCCGTGTTTGCCATCGCCCACGCTCTCCACAACTTACTTAACTGTGACTCTGCAGGAATAAATGAGGGTATGTGTGACAAAAACACAGAATTCACTGCAGGACAGGTTTGTGAAACAGCAACTGAAAACCAAATCACTGCTTCATTTTTAAAGCTTTTTGCTTTTTTTGTGATGTTTTTGCTTCTTTTCAAACAGCTGCTGGACCATCTGAAGAAGGGAAATTTCACAAATCAGTTTCAGGAGAGAGTTTACTTTGACACAAACGGAGAGCCGGTCCCTTTATATGACATCATTAACTGGCAGAAGGACAGCAAGGGGAAAATCAGGTCAAATATCAAACTTGTTTTGCAGCAGAAATGCTCTTTGCAGCCTCTGACTTCATTATTTGGCCATTATTAAATGTCACTTCCTTATTTATTATTCTTATCCCTGCATCCATTTTAATGTACTACAGCCTGCCCCTGCTAGACAAATTTGTCCTGTGGGAGACAAATAAATGATCTTATCTCATCTTATCTTATACCTGATGCACATTTCTGAACCCCAGCTTGATTTTATTTAGTTTTTTCCATGTCATCAACAGATTTGTTAAAGTAGGAGGCTATGATGGTTCAGCTCCACTGGGGCAACAGCTGAAGATAAATGGCAGCATTATTGTATGGACAGGAGGCCAGTCGCAGGTGATGTCTAAATTCAGTTTCAGCATTTTGTACTCAGTAAACCCGCTGTGTTTAATGTCTGCTGTGCTTTTCTGGTCGACCTTTAGGTGCCCGTGTCTCGGTGCAGCGCTCCGTGTCGCCCCGGCAGCCGACAGGCCAGACGTCCAGGGAAACCTCCGTGCTGCTTTGACTGCCTGCCTTGTGCGGATGGAGAGATCAGCAACCAGACAGGTAGCCAATTCTTTTTTTTTTTTTTTTTTTTTTATTATTTGCAAACCGAAAGCCACGTTGTTTGTACCCTTGCCAGATTGTAAGTTATTTCCCATTCAACCAAGAAGTTTGGTTAGGATTTGAAAAAGGACAGGGTAAATCTCTAAAGATATCAAATCATAATCAATTACAAATATGAACCATTTGAATGTTTCTAATGCAATTTTATTCAAAATGAAAAGTTACAAAGTATTACACCGTCTAAGTGGCCAGTGGAAAAATATGTATTGTCATTAGAGCTGCAATGAATGATTAGTCTAGTAATTTACTGTTCAATGAATCGTTCCGATTAATCGATTAATCAGATGAAAAACAGGTGCATTCTGCATATATTTAACCGTTTAAGGTTATTTCATACACTGTTGGAAATAGATAAAAATGTCAAATAATTCACTTCCTTTTTTAAATAAATAACCATTTTATTGCCTTGAGTCCGATAACAGGGCCTTGATGCTTGACCATTTCTAGCAAAGGATTCAACTACAGCTAAAAAAATATGTCTAACATTAATATGTGAGAAGCTCAGTCCTTCTACTTCTCTTGACATCAGAACAGTGTAGAGCTGATCTACTGACTTCTTTATGTATTAACCAATTAATAATAGGGTAGTAAAAGGTGCTTAATAGGAAATTTTAAATTTTTACAGACCTTAAACAAGGTGAAACTAAATCATTTACAGGGTTTTTGGAAGGACATATGTACAGACAAAGAAGTTTTTTTTTTAACTTAAATGCAAAATGTATTTATTTTTGGTAACATTCTGAGTTAATTACTCCTCTGAGGATGTTGTTCTTTCAGCAAATGGCATATTTTATAGTCTTTATACTCCAGTTAGCAATTAATTGATTACTAAATTAGTCAATGATTACTTCAACTATCGATTAATCACAATTGATCCGATTAATTGTTTCAGCCCTAAATGGCATTACACCAGTCATTCCCTTTCTACTAGCCTGCCTTTTGAAAATTTCTTCTCTTATTCAAAAGAGCTTCAAGTCTTTGAAGTTGGAAGGACTTCTTGCCATCACCCTAATCTTTAAGTCCATCCTCAGGTTCTCTGTGAGAGTTAAATTGGAACTCTGGTTGGGTATTTCCACGCTCAGTCCGTAGATATGTTGCTGAAATTAAAAGGTTATTTTAAAGCCTCGTCAGCTGAGGGTATCAATAATTTTATACTTTTTATCATCGCTTTGTTGTACATCACTAATGATACAAAAACTGTGTGGAACAGTAAAATTTTCCACAAATTTTACTGGATTTTTTACTGGATTTTCTTTTCTTTCCATTTAATGTTTTCTGTGTCCCCGTAGGCTCCACCGAGTGCACTAAATGCCCAGAGTCCTACTGGTCCGACAAAGACAAGGTGAAATGCGTCGCAGGCGTTGAAGAGTTCCTGTCTTACAGCGAGACCATGGGCATCGTCCTGGTTCTGCTGACCTTGCTCGGCGTCGTCCTGACAGCCATCATTACTGTGATCTTCCATCGTTTTCGCACCACGCCCATCGTTAAGGCCAACAACTCCGAAATAAGTTTCTTGCTTCTTCTGTCGCTGAAGCTCTGCTTCCTCTGTTCCCTGGTGTTCATTGGCCAACCCTCGGTGTGGACGTGCATGCTACGCCAGGCGGCGTTTGGGATTAGCTTCGTCATCTGCCTGTCCTGTCTCCTGGTCAAGACTGTTGTCGTTCTTTTGGCCTTTCGGGCCAACATGCCGAGCTCCGGGGGTCTGAAACTGTTTGGTCCAACCCAACAGAGGACTATGATCTTCTGCACGACGACTCCTCAGGTGGGAATAAACCTGCTGCGGTGCCAACCCTACGCAGTTTTTATTATTATTATTGCCATTTACTATTACGATATTGCAAGTGTTATGTTATTGTTCTTTGTTCTCTCAGATTTGTCTGTGTGTTGGCTGGCTCTTGGGTGCACCTCCATTCCCTATCAAGAATCCCACATATCAAGCTTCATATGGAAAAGTAAGAAAAGCGAGTCTTGACGCTCATCCTGTCAAACTCAATCACAAAAACAAGGTTACAACTCTGTGTTCCTCGCCCCAATCAGATTGTTTTGGAGTGTAAGGAGCCGTGGCCTCTTGGGTTTTACCTGCTGCTGAGCTACATCGGCCTGCTCGCGTTTGTGTGCCTCCTGCTGGCGTTCCTCGGACGGAAGCTGCCGGATACCTTCAACGAAGCCAAGCTCATCACCTTCAGCATGCTGATTTTCTGGGCGGTGTGGATCTGTTTCATCCCAGCTTACGTCAGTTCACCCGGAAAGTTCTCGGTAGCAGTGGAGATATTTGCAATACTGGCTTCCAGTTTTGGTCTTTTGTTGTGCATCTTTGTACCCAAATGTTACATAATTCTTCTTCATCCTGAAAGGAACATTAGAAAAGGTATGACTGGAAAATATAGATAAATCCATATGCCTTTTTCTTTTCTTAATCAAGTAAACACAATTTATTTTTTCGTTGTTGCTATCCCTATTAAAATGCCTTTTTAATGTAAGGAGTTGTATGCAAATCTTATTTGGATCAGAATAAAAATAAGACATCTGTTTCAATGATTTGTTTACATTTTTTTTCAGAGGAACTGTTCCGTACCTCACTCATCATGAGACTGCATGTTGTATTAATTTCTGCTATTGGTCTCATTATTAGACTCAGGTGTGTTTGGAGGCACGGCTGAAAGTTGCACCCATTCGAGGTCTGAATGGGTGTAATGGTGCTTAGCATCAATCTGACGGTTGGATAACCAAACCAACAGATTAAAAGCAATAAATATATTTGTTGTTGAGCTCATAATCTGTTTATCTCATGATTTTAGCAGTAAAAAGGGTCTTTGAATTCAAAATTATTCTTATTTTTAGTTTTTGAATAAATTGTGATTCCACCACTAATCAAAACATATCCTTGTAATATTTCTAAGCTGAATGGTGCCACACAATTTAATCTTAAATGCGAAAAAACTCAAAATCCAGAGAAAGTCTTATGTTTGTCTAGAGAAACTACTCATTACTTAGATCAACATTTATCAGCATTAAACTTTTAATTCTGGAGTAAGATCTAGAGAAACTCCTATTAGTTTACAAATCTAGACCAAACTTAGAAAGTACCATTTATTTTTATCAGAACAAGAATACAGAGAAACCTCTACTAGTTTATAAATTATGGACTATTTGTTCTTTTTAAACATGAGGAACCAGTATGTTATTTTATAATGTGTTGTTTTTTTCTTTCTTTTGCTCTTTCCTTTGGTTTGTTATTGTATTTCCTTCTAATTCATGTAAAGCACTTTGATCCGCCTTGCTGCTGAAAATGTGCTGTATAAGTAAAAATACCTTAACTTACCTTAAAAATTGAGAACAACAACAACAAAAAAAAGAAAAAAGACTATTCCTAAAACAATGGAGAAGACTTTTTTTTTATTCTGGCATGTCATACATAAGATACACAAAATTGACGTGTCTTTGTCATATACTTTACTTTCTGACTCAGGAATTTGCACTATCTTACAAAAGCAGAAACATTCATTGCAAAGTTTAATGAAAACCAGTAAAAACAAACAAAAAAAAAAAACAGAATGAAATTAATTCAATAAAATACTAAATACATATTAAGCTAATTGAAATGTGAACAATTTATTATAAAAGAAGAAGAAGAATAAAAAGAGTTACCGTTTTTCTTTACCCATAAGGTGCTGCTTTGTATTTTTCTCTGGCTTTAGCAAAATAATGTAACATTTTGGGGCAAACAGACAAAACAATAACCCAAAGCTGGAGGCCAAAATGGCGAAGGACTCAACTGCACCGGCGTAGTTTCCGGGAGCGCTTACATACGCGGGGACGAAAGCGAGCCACACAGCGGAGAAGATCAGCATGCTGAAGGTGATGTACTTGGCCTCATTGAAGTTTCCGGGCAACTTTCGAGCCAGGAATGCCAGCACAAAGCAGAGACACGCCTGGAGGCCGATGTATCCTAAGACGCACCAGAATGCAAGACTCGACCCAACGCTGCACTCCAGTATGATCTTTGAGCGTTCGTATTTGGTGTTTCGACTCGGATAAGGTGGGGCGTCAATTAGCCAGGCGGCACAGATCACCACCTGGACGAGAGTGCAGCTGAAAATAATGGCTCGCTGCTGCTTGGGCCCCAGCCACTTCATGATGTTGTCCCCGGGCCTGGTGGCTGTGAAAGCAGCCAGAACAACGAGGGTCTTTCCCAGGATGCAGGAGATGCAGAGTGAAAACGTGATACTAAAGGCGGTGTGACGGAGCATGCAGGACCAAACGGTGGGCTCTCCGATAAAAATAAGACAACACAGGAAGCAGAGCGTCAGAGCGAACAGGATAAAAAAGCTCAGTTCTGAGTTGTTCACTCGCACGACTGCCGTTCTTCTGTGGTGGAAAAACACGACAAAAACGCCGACAGTGAGAGAGGCACCAACTACTGAAATGACTGTCAGGGGAATGCCCAAGGCATCGTAGGCCAAAAACTCCACCTTCTTGGGGATGCAGCTCGTTCTGTCTTGGTTCGACCAGAAGTCCTCAGGACAAAATATGCATTCTACTGAGTCTAGCAAAAAGAGATCAGCAAAGAAAAGAAAAGAAAAAGAGATAAACGTGACTGTACCAAAATCCATACTTAAGTTGCAGTGATTTTCAGCCTCACTTGTCTGATTGCTAATTTTGCCGCTGTCACATGGTACACAGTCAAAGCAGCAAACAGGCTCCCCACGACGGACAGCTTTCCTGGAGCCTGGAGGGCAGCTGGGACTGCACACAGACACTGGCACCTTTACAGGGACAATAAGCGTTCTTCAAATTACCAAAACAATCTGCTTTTTTAACAAGCAAACTACAGTCATGATAGAAATAAAATTATACTTCAATCCCCTATTCCATGATGTGACTTTTCAGTTGAAATTGAGGCATATCACGACAGAAAAGATGATCTGAAAGGGGCTACTGAATCACACTGTTTGGGCACGTTGAAGACCATCGCTAAAATACCGTCTTTACTGCCTAACGGACTATTTGTAATGGACAATAATGGGGTCAAATCAGATCCAATCCGTCCTATCCGCCCTACTTACCTCCATCTTAACCTACAGAACTTCAACAGTTGGCATCTGATGAAGGTAAAAACACAGTGTGAGCAGCTTGCCTCACTCTGATGGCCTGTCCACATTATTCTTTCCTCCTGGATCACCAGCTCCTCTCCTCCAGGCTTAGTCCCGTCGAACAACCCCACGTTGACAAACTCAATGCTCCCAGTCGTGCCTCTCTGCCAGTTGATGATGTCATAGTACGGCACCGAGTCGCCCTTCTGGTCGAAATTTACCTCCTCCCCTGCCATGTTGAACTTCACTTCTTGCAGGTAGTACTGAAGCTAATGGGGGAAAGAAAGATTTATAACAGAACAAACAAAAGCAATGGGCTTTATTTACTCCTCAAACAACAAATGCTTCATCGTCATACCTGCCAGGGGAGTATGTTGTTGCTTTGAGCACATGAATCGTTTTCAAAAGGCCCGTTGCCGGACTGACAAAGAAGGAGGTTGTGCAGCGAATGAGCGACTGCGTACACGGCCTTGTAGACGTTGTAGGCCACCCTGGGGCTGGACGTGTTCATGTAGGCCGAGTGCTGCTTCAGCAGGACCTCTTGCCCTGAACAAACTGGGAAACGGTTGGCAGAGGACGGAAAAGGGCTGCAGCCATACAGAGCCTCCCACAGCTCGCCCACCAGAATATTGTCGGGATATCGCTGAGGGCTGACTGTCTGCAGGTAGTCGCCTAGTTGAGCAATGTGACCCTTTCTGATGCCGAAGCCAATGGTGCCCCCCAGGTAGGGGTAAAACTCCCTCCCAGTAAAGACGGACGCCGTGACCCAGGCTTCGCTCGCCACCCACTGGATTCCGGTGATGTTCTGCTTCATGTAGTCCCTGAGGAACGGCGTCATTTCCCCTTCGGCTGAGAATACCACCACTACTTTTGCCAAAGAGCGCCGCATGACCTTTTTTTTTTTTTTTCAAAATGGAAGAAGGTCAAGAAGTCAAAACAAAAACACAATGCAACCTGTTAACTTTTCAACACTTCACTTATGCAAGTAAATCCTAACATTTGTAAAGAATAACTTGGATCGCTATTAATTTTACCTTAAATGTTTGGACTATATTAAATTCTATGTATTTGTATCACAGTAATTCTTCACCAAAACCAAATTATTGGAGAATAATTTTGAGTACTTTATTTATGTCTTTTAATTGGTTGAATCCGGATGTTTTCATAATCTGATTGCCTTTGAGTCTCTTTCTCTTAAAATAAAATATCTGAAAGTTCTAATTATTTAGAAAATAAACTCTTTAAATAGAGTTGCTACAGCCAGGACACAACTGCAGATGTCAAGTGTCAAATTTATGACTTGTGCTGTTAGGGTGCAATGGTACACACAAATAATGGCTGTGTAAATATTTGACTTAAAAAATGAAAATGAAAATGAAAAAGTTAGTACATTTTCAGTATCCTTCATTCAAAAAAAAATAAAGAAAATTATTATTTATTTCTTACAGCAGAAAAACAAACAATCCTTACTAATTTCTAAAGTTAATTTACATTTTTTTATATTCACAAACTTAAAGGAACTGGAAACCAACTAAAGGGAGATTTAGTTGGATTTTTATTTTACTATGACTAACTTTTTTTAAATACGACTCTCCCCATATTTAAGAATAAACACTTTTAAATCACTTTGCAGTTGTTTTGCATAATAACTAAATAGGTGCTACTTTGAAAATGTACCTGCATAATCTCCAGAGCCCGCTGTGTGTTGTAGAGCAGAGGGATCATTTCTTGGTAAGCTACACACACACTGCTGCCCTGTAACTCCCTCAGCAAACCCTGCACCGCAAAACGCCCGTATTCATGGTCTCCTCGAATAAGTCCGACCCAAGTCCAGTTGAAGTGCAGCAGAAGTTGAGCAATGGCCTTCACCTTTATTCAGCAAGTAAAAAAGGGCAGGTAATTTTCAAATAACGTTTGGAAATTACATTTTAAAGATATCAAAGTCCACGTCAAATGTCTTCAGACAGTATGACTACAGCAAGTGATTACATTTGTAAATTTTTAAAATGCAAAATTCACAACTTCCTTTTCTACGTTACACAAGCGGCAACATAAAGTCATACCTGGTAGTCATCATTAGGAATTACTCTGAAAAATGTGGGATACTTTCTTCTGTCGGTGAAGCAGGCACACGATGAGAAGTAGCTGATCTGAGGGTAAGGCTTAGGGTCAGCTTAAGATGCTTAAGTGACTGCAAAGAAAAGGAGATGCCGTTACCATAGGGATCCTGAATGGTCGCAGGAGTCTGGAAACCACGATGGACTGAGCGGATCCCGATTCCCCGATCACAGTCAGCATGGGAGAGGATCCGGAGCACATGGGAGAGTCGGCCTCGCTCAGACCGTTCAGCACGGCCAGAGCAGCCCTCTGACCCGTCAGCGGGTACGCACAAGAATCAAAAATTTTGTAACCCAGGGTGTGATTTGGCAGTAGCTCTGTGCTCTCGTTTATCTCCTCCACTGCCAGCCTCATGGTCTGAACCCAGCGGAAAGCCCTGGGATCGAACCTGCAGCTCAGCAAAGATGCACACACACACACACACACACACACGCATATTGAACAAAGTAGTTAGAGACAGAAATGTTGCTGGGACAGAAGAAACTGCATTTTTATTTTTTACTTTTAAAGAACTAGATAGTTTTCTTTGTCCATATTGTCTAGTTTAAGTCTGAGAAAACATCTTATCAATTTGCAGTCATGTTCTATAATACATAAATTGTTTAATTTCTACAATCTCAGATAATTTGACTATTCAGTGAATCAAAGAATCAAACAAGCATTGAGTACTATAGTAATATGACTAACATGGCAATTAATCAGATGGCAAAAGAACCTAAACATTTTTTTGTGCACCATAAAGCAAAAATTCTTTAACCTCCTAAAACAGAAATATAATCTCTGCAGCTCGACCGGTTTAACTACCAGCAGGTGTATTTAGATCCAAACTGATTCTAAGCAACGGAGAACAAAATCCCCCCAATTTTAGCAATAAAAAACCCCCAAAAAACACACATTTCTCCATTAGGCTCACCCGTTGCACTTCACCGGTGGTGGTGTGTAGGTGTAGTTCTGATCAGGCATTTCCTGGTTATAATGAAGAGGAAAAATCCCTCCGATTATAAAGTCGCCTTCTGCAACGAAGCCTGGCTGAAAGCTGTTTCGGAGAACGCAGTCTTCAGCTGCAGTAGCTGTGGAAGTGTATCTAGAAACATGTGTGAAAGACAAAGCACTGACACAGAAAGTGAAAGAAAATAAAGCAAGTGGAGGCATGCTGATAGTCAAAGTCAAAACTCCAGAGAGCTTGGAATTAGGCAGCTTATATACAGAAAGCAACCTTGTTATCTATTGACACTGAGTGATGTAATTGGATATTTAGGAGCCTTTTGTGGTTTACTGAAAGTGATGGGAGCAAATGGAATAATTTCATGTGAGAAACAAAATCTAAATAAGGCAATTGAGTTTTTTTTTAATTAGAAGAATTTTAAAAAAAATCCTCTTTACGGTATTTACGGTTCTTTGCGACACATGTTTAATTATTTTTCTTTGTGGCTAGTATGAGTTAATTATGGGCGATTATTGTTTTTGTTTTAACTTGACAGTAACACGTATCAGTCGACCATCGTATGTTTTCTGATGAGTTTTCACCTGCTGTTGACAACAAAGCAGAGTTATTGATGAAAAACACAAGATTTATTTTTTAACTCAGTTGTTATGTACATGTGTGGAATGGATTTCCTAAGATGATTACAGACAATGATTTAAAATTGGTAGCTGAACAGTGTTATTGTCCATTTGGAAGACATATTTGCACCCAAACCCTAATTGTTTGGCTGATGCCTTGACATATTGCTCCAATATTTCCACACGAGATTCTTTCTTCACAATGCCACCCATTTTGTGAAGTAAACAACTCTCTTTTGGAAAAAAAAAAAAAGAAAAAAAAAAACTACAAAATGCTACCACCACAATACTTAATAAATGTAATGGTGTGTCTAGCCTACCACATTTCTTACAGAAGTAAATATGATCAATATGGTTTAATGCTTATATATTTTCCAGGCACATAGTGCCATTTTATGCTACCGTACACATCAAACATGACAACTAATATGGTGCCTTAAAAATTGGGTCTCTTCCTGCCAGCATGTCTAGGTGGGCCCCATGTGGGAAAAAGGAGGGCAGACTATATAGGTCCCATATGGGTTTGTCTGCGGGTTCCACGGTGGCCCCACATGGGTTTGCCCATGTAGGGACAAACCCATATGGGACCCATATATCAGCCCTCCTTTCCCCCACATGGGTCCCACCTAGACATGCTGGTCTCTTTAAGAAGCTCCTACTCTTTCTGAGACTCCACCTTCAGTACATCAGCACAACAATGTTTGCTAAATGCTGCTGCTAGTCTGAAGGAGCTGTGTCTTGATTTGACAGGAAAACTGTAAAAAAAAAAAAAAAAAAAATCCTCCCAGAACCCTCTAGCTGAAATCTGAACAGATACATTTTTGGATGTGAAGTAGCAGCCACCAAAAAAAACAAGAAACATTTCACCTTATAAGTATTTATGGATATAAATTAGTCTTGCTAAACACACACCTTTTGACTGTTCAGCTCTAACAAGCTTAAACATTAAGAAGACATAATCAGTTTCAACAACTACAACAAAAAAGTTTAAATACGAATAGTAATTTTGTCAGCATTATTCATTGGGAAAAAAAATATATCACTATGTCACAACCCTTGGGTCTGGGCGGCTCCCTCAGATTTGTTTGTGCCATCTACAGTATAAAAATCTGGTGTGCCTAACTATATTGCAAACTTCTCCGTGTGTGAAAACTGGGGACAGGCTTTTTAATTGTCCCTTAGGCAAACATGCGACTGCTGGATGTAATTCTCCTTCTCTTTCTGTCTCTATTTAGAGGAAATCAAGGCTCATCTGCTGCTCTTGATAGCTGTGCTTTCCTGGGAGAAGAAGAGAGAAAAAGTCTTTATGAGGATGGTGATGTAGTTATCGGGGGTCTATTCCCTCTGCATTACAGTCCTGTGTCATCTCCTCTCACATATAACGTAAAGCCTACACCTAATACTTACAACTAGTAAGTTCAACGCAATGACTTGAACTGCTAAAAAGATGCTTGTTTGATTTTCTTGTGCCACTTTCTTATAAGAAACCTGTGATTATCTTTGTCTACAGCTTCAGCGCTCGTGCCCTGCGCTGGATGCAGACCATGACTTTTGCGATCAAAGAGATAAACGGACGGGCGGATCTCCTGCCACGACTCAAGCTGGGTTTCCACATCCGTGACAGCTGCGATGATATACCCGTTTCCCTGAGAGCGTCCTTCCTGCTGGCGAACGGACAGCCGGAGGGCTCGAAGGGAAATGCGAGTCAGGATGAAGCCGCTGGTTTAGGATGCGAGGCTGTCAACAGAACGGTGTCCCCAGTAATCATAGGAGACGCTGGCTCTGGTGTCTCTATGGCTCTGCTACGAAGTCTGGGCTCTTTCCATATTCCACTGGTGCGACTGTTTGAGCTTCTTTTTGTTATACAATTTACTTGATGCTCTATTACAATCAGTACAATGAGAAACCACAATCTTCTAAACCTTCAGTTTTAAGTTTAGGTCTCTGCCTACATTGTTATCTGTCATTTGATGCTTTCATCCACAGTCTGTTTTAGCAAGTGAGAAAAGTCAACCATTGTTTGCTGTAATTCTAGGTGAGCTATTTTGCTTCCTGCAGCTGTCTGAGTAATCAGAGGGAATTCCCCACATTCATGAGGACAATGCCCAGTGACGCCTTCCAGATAAAAGCCCTGGCCCAGCTGGTCCGCTACTTTGGCTGGACCTGGGTGGGGGTAATCGGAGTGGAATCCGATTATGCTCGCTTCGCCATCCAGCTTTTCCTCAAGGAATCGGTGCGCTATGGTGTGTGTGCCGCCTACACACATTTCTACCCAGTAGGCCCAAGCCACCAGGACATTGAAAAGCTTCTGAATGTTATTCAGGTGTGCTATGTGAGCTGCAGCTCCTACATTTTACCTGCTAAAAGGTCCAAACAGTGACAGGTTTCTGTGTTTTTATTTAATGCTAAAATATGCTGTTTAGTTTCAGCTACATGACAAGTAATCTGTTTCTTGTTAGACAAGGTTATGTTACACTAAACAAAGTAGTGTTTGGCATCCTATCATTTCATGTCTAACTCATCCTGATTTAGTGAATTTGAATTAAATACTATCTCTAACTTTCCCATCATTAGATGACTTCTTCAAAAGTCATCATTAATTTTTCGGGTGAGGCAGAGATGCAGGACATCCTCAGAGAGATGCAACGTCGAAATCTAACCGGGTTCCAGTGGATCGCCAGTGAGGCCTGGGCCACCTCCAAGTCGCTGTGGGAAAACTCGGCCAATCTTCTGAAGGGAACTCTGGGATTTGCCATCCAGAGAGCTGCTGTGATTCCTGGGCTGCAGCAACACCTCGCGGCTCTCACACCATCGGCCATTCATCGAATCGCTTTCTTGGCTGAATTCTGGGAGGAAACGTTCAACTGTCGGCTGAACGGGTCTGCCAACGCTCACAATCACGGGTTGGGAAGCCAACAAAGCAGAACACCATGCAAGGGGACTGAAGCCTTACGCGACGTTTACTCTCCGTATTCTGATGTGACACAACTACGAGTTTCATACAACGTCTACAAAGCCGTGTATCTCGTAGCCTACGCCTTGCAAGATATGAGTAACTGCAAAGCTGGAGAGGGGCCGTTCGTCAGAAACACTTGTGCAGATCCAAAGAATTTTAAACCCTGGCAGGTGAGAGAGGTTACAAGTTGTCGTTTGCTGTAATATTTCAGAAACTGAAGTTTGACACCCCATGCTTATATTCCCGTAGCTTCTTCACTACATGAAGCTTGCAAATTTTTCCGCACTGGGGGAGGAAGTCAACTTTGATCAGAATGGTGACCCAATTGCTTATTACGATCTGATGAACTGGCAGACGGGACCTGGCGGCTCTCTGGATTTGGTGAAAGTTGGTTTTTATGACGCCTCGCTTCCCGCTGGAAGCAGCTTGGTCATAAACGACTCGGTGATCATGTGGCCGGTGGGAAAGCAGGTGCGTTCTCCACAAACAGGCCTGAGGCCGTGTTCACCGCTCAGACGCTTCTGTGCCTTGTTGATTGACACGTCATTTAAATTACTGCTAGTTATGTGTGGCATACTTTGCTAAATTATTCTTACAGTCTCCTTTTAGGCGCTTATTGGAAAATGACCAAAATGACATTTTTGTTAAAAACTGGAGCAATCAATTACCTTTATAAAACACTTTTAATTAAATAAATATTGCACTGAAGAATGTGTGAATTTTTAATAAATAATAAAAATGTGGAAAAAAAAAATCTTGACATTAATTCATTATTAATACGTAGGTTTAACTATTGTCCATGTCAAATCGCAATCCTTTTCAAAAGATACAGTTGTGTATTCAGTTTTTAAAAATATGTTGCTTACATTTTATAAATGTGTTCTATATTTTTGATAAAATATGTGTCCATTAGAGAAGAAAGCTGGATGTTTAGTCTCATCTGTCTGAGTGCCTGAACTTTGCCTCTCAGGCTCTGCGGTCTGTGTGCAGCAACAGCTGTCCTCCAGGTTCCCGTATTGCCAGGAGAAAAGGGGAACCTGTCTGCTGTTATGATTGTGTGCCCTGTGCCGAAGGAGAATTTAGTAATACAACCGGTATGTCCCGTCTTTTGCTACACTTTTTCACCACTTTGTTTAATCATAAAGAAACTTGGCTCTCCTTAAATTTGGTTAAATTAGTAAATTTACTTTGGCATCAAAAATAAAGCTGCGGTTGGAGTTACCGTCTGTGGATGTTATCTGGGTTTCCTCCAACTGTATGAAAGCATCCATTTCAACAGCCCCCTAATTGTCCCATCACTGTTTCTCTTGTGTTTTTCTGTGTAACCCACTTCTTGGCTGTCATCCCCTGTAGAGTCAGAAGTTAAACAAGCCCAGTCTCCAAGGTTTCTGCCGTGGATATATTATAGTTAGTGGAAAAGGGTCACATTTGGAGACAGAGCAGAGAAAGAAGGGGAAGGACACTTCATTCAGATTTTCAAATTGAGGCTCCCTATCAGATTTTTTTTATCTTCCCATCTGTGTTGGCTTATTACAAAAACATGTATTACACAGCGATTAGCATGAATAAATTAAGCCGATTTTGCTAAATAAAATCCTGTCATCTTTCAAGAATGAGTTCTAACTAATTAACGTGCAGATATTTTTTAATATCAACCCCTCAGTTTTTTTGTTTTATCTTCAGGAATCAACTGAGTGAAAATAAAGTGTCAAAGGTCGAGTAGTATCCCAAAGTGGTCAGATAATTATTAGCCACAAATAATTAGAAAGTAGCTCAACCTCAAATACTGGACATTTCGAGCAAATGTCATGCTGAGGTAACTAAATCTTAGATGGTGTAGCCGGATTAGTTTGATGTGACATACAGAAACGTTTCATTGGTGTTGATAGTTGAGTCGCAATAGTGTTAATTATTGAGTACAAATGTACAGTTCAGATCATCAGGGCTTATATAGTGGCTTTCAGTCTATCAAAAAACAAAAAAGAATCAGTGACAGCATGGTTTAGTTGGTGAATTAATTGTGCGTACATGGCAAATGCATAGTAAGGCGATGCCAGATTATTATTTTCCAAGGTAATGTGAATTGCTCTGAAGCGACAGGCAGATGTGCAATAGTGTAACGGGAGCAGAAGCCCAGTTATTCTCAGGGTTACCTTGGGTAAGGTTTCTCTTCTCTCTCCATATTCAGATTCTTTAGATTGCTCACGTTGTTCCGGGGACATGTGGCCCAACAGAGCCAGAGATCTCTGCATCCCTAAAACAGTGGAGTATCTGTCTTACCATGAGTTCATGGGGGTTCTGCTGAGTGCTGCCTCGGTTCTGGGAGCTGCCGTTTCCCTGGCCATAATTGCCATATTCTACACATATAAGGACACAGCTCTCGTTCGAGCCAATAACATGGAGTTGAGCTTCCTCCTGTTGGTGTTTCTCACCATATGCTTCCTTGTCGGTCTGCTGTTCCTTGGTAAGCCTTCAGAGTGGCTGTGTCGGATCAGGTATCCGGCTTTTGGGATCAGTTTTGCGCTCTGCCTTTCGTGTCTTCTAGCCAAGACAGTGGTGGTTCTAATGGCGTTTAGGTCGAGATTACCAGGAAGTCCTGTCATGAAATGGTTTGGAACCAAACAACAGAGAGCCAGCGTGCTTTTGGGAACTGCTGTCCAGGTACAAAAACATTTCTACCAGAGCAATAATTTTTCATCTTAGTCTGGGGGAAAACTACTACCTTCATGCCTTTCTGTCTTTTTTTAAGGTTATTGTCTGTTTTATTTGGTTGCTCACCAGTCCGCCTTATGCCAATCACAATACGGACTACCACAGCTCTACAATCATCGTCGAATGTGTGACTGGTTCAGACGTCGGCTTCTGGCTCGTTCTTGGATACATTGGAGTCCTGGCTTGCATGTGCCTCCTGTTGGCCTTTTTGGCACGGAAGCTGCCCGATAATTTTAATGAGGCGAAGTTCATCACCTTCAGCATCCTCATTTTCTTTGCTGTTTGGGTTACTTTTATCCCAGTTTACATGAGCACTGTAGGAAAATACATCGTAGCTGTCCATGTTTTTGCTATTTTAGCCTCAGCCTTAGGACTTCTCCTTTGCATTTTTGCTCCAAAGTGCTACATCATTTTGCTTAAACCTGAAAAGAACAGTAAAAAATTTCTAATACAAAGGTAGAAAGAAACAACTGCAGCACATTTCAAAAATGTAAGGGACTCAATTTTAGACTATACAAAACATTTGTCTGAAGAATCGTAAAATCTGCAAATGGCATGACTGTCATCAAACAACCAAAGATGGAACATTATAGAAACAAGATCAGACCAAGAACAAGTTTTCCACTGAGAACTTTCAACATTTTCACATTTATTTTTTACTTAGTCATGTGACTTTGGGTAATTTTGTTACTAAAAGTACAGCTCATTTATGTCCAACTTCTCAAATTAAAATTTGATTATGAAATATAAATCACTGACAGCTAAGATTTCTACAGCATCTCACAAAAGTGAGCACATCCTTGACAATTTTGTAAATATTTTATTATGTTTTTTCATGGAACTGATGATACTGGATGTCGGCACCTCATGGGAAAGAACATGTAGACCAGTGGCTCCCAGTTCTGATCCCCAGGGAACACTGCCCCACGTGTTTTCGATGTTTTCCAGCTTAACAAACCTAATTTATATAACTACAGCTAACAAAAAAACAAAAAACAAAAAAAAACTGTTAATCAGCCATTAACTGAAATCAGGTGTGTTAAGGCAGAAAACACAGGCTATATGATGCTTTTCCACTCAGGAGAGTCATAGGAGAGAGTCATATCCAGAGGTTTTCTTTTGACAATAGACATATGAGCGAAATACTGTTCGTGGATTTTTTCACCTTAATTTATTAAATAACATATAATTAAATATCTGATTTGTGTTTTTTTCTCCTTTAGTAATTCGCATAAGATGCCCAAGCTCCTAAATGTGCCAATGGCAGAGAAATATGGAGTGAAAATAGTCTCAAAATATCTGTGCACGTGTAAAAAGATTTGTTCGTACGTAAAAGGATTTGTGCATGCGTAAAAAGATTTGTGCGTGTGTAAAATGATAAGTGTGTGTGTGTAAAAATGGATTTGTAAACCTTAAAAATAAAATAAATGTTCTGCTACGTCTATAAATGTTGTAAAAGTACGCACAAGTCACCTGGTACACACACACAAAACTGCATTTACACACAGATCCGGTTACGAGTGCACAAGTATCTTTGAGACTCATTTCACACTTCGGCGAAGTTCCCAGATTTGTGTGTAGATGATGCGTTTAAGCTGGGTCATCTGAGTTTTTCTCCGAGTCTAGTGTTTTTATCCTCTGACGTTTCTCAGTGTGCTTGTGCCGAAGTGGCAAATACGTTAGTTCGGTGGAAAACGGTATATCTCAGTACTTCCTTAAAATATCTTAAAATTATTTATAGACATATTGTGTATTTTTTAGAGGTACAGGAGACTAAGTGGTCTGAAAAACGACCACTGGGTGGCAGAATGGTTCGCTGGCTGGAAAAATAGCCAGGCAAACCCAGAAGCAAGACGGAGGGTCCTGGTGGTCTGTCCTCTGAAGTAGAAGCTAAACCTGGAGGCTTTGCTCTCCGATTATAATGAAAGTTAATACATTAGAATCAAATGGCAATTTATTTCACTTAATTATATTCACTTAGTGAATAAAGTAAAAGGCAAATCAGAATATCCCACAAACTATATAAATATCAGTCAGCAACATGACTTAGGAATTTGATTGGAACCTTTTGGGCAAAACAGATACTGTAAGAACCACCCAGAGATCATTTTTATATATTAAAGACTCAAACTGTGCTGAGAGTGACACTAAAAATCCACGCTTAGCTGCGAAGAGCTCTAAAGTAGCATAGCTGACATAAACATTAGCTCCTGCTAACAGAAACTGAGGGCAGAGTATCAAAATACCAGACATATAAAACGTAATCTGAAATAATTTATAATTACTCCATGTCTCATTATAATCAGAGAGCAAATCCTGCAGATTTAGCTTCTACTTACTTCATTGTGGCTAGATTAAAACAGTACTATAAAAAAGAGCCTGCCAAAATGTCTCTATAACAATTTAAAAAAATAACTGACCATGTATCATCAGTAGTTTTTTCCAGCATTAGCAAAATGCCTTATTAGGTTTACGGGGTAACTATTTTTTAATTAAAAGGTAGGTTGCTTTGGATCTCCTTTTCCCCTTGAGGAATGAAAAAAAACAAAACAAAAAAAAACAACTTTGTGTATGTGTGTTTTACAAAGTTTTACCAAAATATGTAACTGAGACACAAAAGCATAGATAGATGTTATCTGCATTGTAAATTGGCATTATGCTAAAATCTGGTATTTGTCTAATCATGTGAAGTCATGATTAAAAACTGCACCTCTTGATTGAGTTCATTACATTTCTTTTCACCGGCTATTAGATGTTATAAGCAGTCTTCTAAATCTAATTGAATCTCAAACAAATAGTAATGTAAAAATACACACAAGGTGTGCTGCTGGCCTCTCTAGAGAGGAAAAAGCAACAGGGAGCAGTGTTCAGTTAAACACCAAGTGTAAGTGAGAAGGGATTCTCCCCAATACCCTGAATTTGTCCTACCTATTGATGTAATCTGCAGTTATAAAGTCTTTCTCCAACACTGCAATGGAGTAGTCAACAAAATAATGTTATTTACATCCTTTGAACTGAGCCATAGTTTGTCATGTTTCACCTATTGGTTACATATTATAGTTTAATTGGTAGATCAAATCACTGCAGCCTGATATTTTATTGGGGAATCAAAATAATCTTATCATTTTACTTATTTTCAATTATAAAATCTGGGGTGCATTTGAGTACAGTCTTTATTACTCAGATACCCCAAAATAAAATCAAGTGAAATCAAGCACTTTCAGAAGTAACCTGTAATAAACAAAGTCCATGTTTGTCGTAGCATAAACACCAATGTTTACACTGTTTTTCAATGCTTCCATGCAATGCATGTAAGGCACCTAATACTCTATACCTAAAAAAAAACACAGAATAATTAATTTGGTGTTAAGAGATGAGCGTTTTCTACTGGTAACGAACTGCCACGAAGAATGAATCAGATTTTTACTTTTGTGTTGAATGTCTGTTTTACAATATATTTACCATTAATGACAATAAAAAAAAACACTTTTCTGCAAAATTCATCAGCTGCACAATTCTTGTTAAATAGTGGAAGATAAGTAGTATTTCAAAAGAACAGAACATATATTATATTTTTGAACAATAACAATTTTTGTTGCTAATCTGTTGCTAAGAGATGAGTGTGTTTACTGGTAACCAAGTGCCACGAAGCACATCAGATTTTTACTTTTGCAAAATTTGCCAACGGTAAATGTCTTGTATCTAATCAGGTAAGCATTATTTCGAAAGAGTTTATGTTTTATAACTTGTTATTAATTTGGTTTTAAGAGATAAGCGTTTTCTACTGGTAACGAACTGTCACGAAGTATAAATCGAGATTTTCAACATTGTGTTGAATGTGTGTTTAATATATTTACCACTAATGACAAAAAAAATGAACTTTTCTGCAAAATTCGCCAACTACACGATTCTTGTCAGTGTAAAATAAGTAGTATTTCAAAAGAGCAGAAGAAATCTTATGTTTTTTGAACAAAAATAATTTTTGTTGCTAATCTGTTAATCTGAGATGATCTTGACTTCTGGTAACCAAGTTCCACAAAGTAAACTTCTGATTTTCACTTTTGCAAAATGTACCAACTGTAATTTTTTTGTATCTAAGCAGATGAGCAGTATTTTTGAAAGAGCTTATGTTTTATAAATAATATTACTTATTATTAATTTGGTTTTAAGAGATAAGCGTTTTCTACTGGTAACGAACTGCCATGTATAAATTGAGATTTTTATTTTTGTGTTGAATGTGTGTTTTATATCAAATTTGCCACAAATGACAAAAAAAAAAAAAAAAAAAAAAAA